AAATGAGCCAAAGAGCAGAGACAGGAGCAATTGTCAAACCTTTGGTGTCGATCATTCGATTTCATCCTGGACACTACAGAAAATGGGCTTAAAGTGTAAAAAACCGAACTTCTCCTTTAAAGCCAGGGGCGTGCGGGTGGCGCAGTGGTTAGTGTGCACGACCCACGACGCGAATCCGGCCTGTGATCCTTTGCCGCATGTCTCTCCCCCTCTCTCATACTCCCTTTCCCCACAAGTGCCGCAAAAAAAAAATCTTTAAATCCGGGAATGCACTGTGCGGCTGAGAGCTACAGCTTTCACGTACGATGAAACCCTGCGGTTTCGTCGTACAGTGTGAATTCACAGCTCACTATGCATGTTCTCACACTGTGTGGCCAGACGCTGTGATGGGATTTACCTGATCACACTGTACGTCTGAAAACCACGTCAGACCCAACTACGCAGTGAGATGGCGCTACTCGGACTCGTCTATCCGGAAGCCAAACCAGTAGAAGAGGAAAAAGAGGGAATGGTCTATGCCTCCTATCAAATCTGAAGCTCTCTAGAGTGAAACGTGCTGCCTTGTCAATTTCTGCAATTTTGTGCTGAAAGCCCAAAAAAGAAAAAGCGACGACGTATTTGGACAAAGACATGGCTGAGCAAACATGGCTACTATGGTCTGTCAATTTTACAGACAGAACTCCATGTCACTCATACCCCCACCATGCTTCTGTTCTTGTCTGAGAGGAGGAATCCTTGTTTGCGCATGCCCACTGAGCGATTTGCCCATGTCCACCTAACGACAACCGACTGAATTTCAAAAACTTTTGATTTTATCCCGAAACTTACGATTTCTGATCACGAGGTTGTCGTGAGAGGCTAATTGCCCCTCGTTACCCCATGTACACTACACGACTCACGATCAGGCTGAAAGTCGCCCCGATCGAAAAATTCTCACACGACTAGAGGATTGTCAAAAAATCGTGGAGTGTATGCCCGGCTTTAGGACCCTTTTGCTATCAGATTAATTGAAAGAAATTATTTACAAAGTCATCGATTAGCAAAATAATCGATAGTTGGAGCCCTAATACCAACACTACTGAAAACATATCCTCCTTGGAAGAGGCAATAACCTCAAAGCAACACATAATAGGGAGAGGAAAGGGTAAACTGAGATTAAGACATTATCTCAATTTGGATTGGAAGAGATCAATAATTATAGACAATTATTAGATATTCAGTTCACCAGTTATAAAACTGCCCCCCCCCCCCGAGATAAAGTGAAACTTTGATACCATAACAAAAAAAAGCACAAAGCCTTGCAGAAGACAACTGAAGGACTCAGCTGGCTTCTTATTGGATTATTGTGATTCAATATGAATAAAGCAATGCAGCCTATAGCTACAAAATGTTTACCTGGAAAGAGGGTTTCCACTGAAATCTGCAATCTCCAATGACTTACAGAACTTGATGCTCTCAGGGATCTCAGGGATATCTGCAAGGAACAAGATAGAGGTCAGAAAGACAAATGGTGAGCAGAACATATTAACTTAAAGCACATCCAGATGAAAAGGGGGTCCTATGGGGGGTACTCCTGAAGTACCGGGTCCTTTAATAAGGACCGTTATGTCTCTGTATGACTGTGTCAGCGCCTGGTCTGCATTGCTGGCAGTAAATCTGACTAGTTTCCGATGAGGGTGGGACTCTGCCAATGTTGCCTTTTGTCACCGATTCTATCCATAACTTTTATGGATAGAATTTGTAGGCACAGCCAAGGTGTTGAGGGGACAAGTTTTGGTGGCCTTGGCATTGCGTCTCCGTTATTCGCAGATGATGTGGTTCTACTGGCTTCATCAGGGCGTGATCTACAGCTCTCAATGGAGCGGTTCGCAGCCGAGTGTGAAGCGGCCGGGATGAGGATCAGTGCCTCAAAATCCGAGACCATGGTCTTTAGCCGGTAAAGGGTAGAGTCCCTTCTCTGGGTTGGGGAGGATGTACTGACCCCAGTGCAGGAGTTTAAGTATCTTGGGGTCTTGTTTATGAATGAAGGTAAGATGGAGCGGAAGATCGACAGGCAGATTGTTGCGGCGTCTGCTGTGGTGAAGAGAGCTGAGCCGAAAGGCAAAGCTCTCGATTTACCCGTTGATCTGTGTTCCTACTCTCATCTATGGTCATGAGCTTTGAGTCATGACTGAAAGAATGAGATCCTGGATACAGGAGGCCAAAATGAGTTTCTCCATTGTGTGTTTAGGCTCTCCCTTAGAGATAGGGTGAGGATGCTCAGACATCCAGGGAGGACTTGGAGTAAAGCCAGTGCTCCTTTACGTCATGAGGAGCCAGTTGAGGTGGCTCAGGCATCTGATTAGGATGCCTCCTGGACGTCTCCCTGGTGAGGTGTTCCAGGCATGTCCCTCTGGGAGGAGACCCAGGATACGCTGGAGGAATTACTTTTCTCAGCTGGCCTGGAAACGCCACGGGATACCCCTGGAGTAGCTGGCCAAAGTAGCTGAGAGATGTCTGGGCCTCCCTACGGAAGCTGCTACTACCGTGACCCCATCCCGTAAATGCGGAAGAAGATGGATGGATGAATGGATGGATGGATAAAGTTTTTCTTGATGTCTTTGATTCTTTGATGTCCAGATTTTTTTTTTTGTTCCATTGAACAACGTGTAACTACTGCACAGCTAGTTGACTTCCCACTGAAATAAAAACTTTAATATGTACAGTACCTAAAATCATTGCATTCACACTGTAATGAAAATACAATCTCACATACAGAAAAGATTATTGTATTATATCAGTTACCGGTATATCAGTATTACAACAGTTTATCTGGCTTCAGGGTTTCTGATAACTAGACATCTGAATACATTGCACATTAAAAGTAAACAGGCTACATCCTACAGGCAAAAAGGATGGTTTGTTGGTCATGTTGTTGCCTAGATCTAAATACGTGCACTGTAAAAAAAAATAAATAAATAAATAAATCTTTGAATGCTTAACTAGCAAAGTTATGAGAAGGTCACAAACAAAAAAAGGAGTTTTTTAGTGCACAATATTGCAGGTATATATTAATAAACCCCCACAGAAAAAAAACAACTATTTTTTTAATCCAGCTCAGAGTTGCACTACAGTAATATTTAGGAAACATGCAAGCCTACAGATGGGAGCTCTCCTATCAGCAAAGGCACACCGCTCTCACAGCACTCCATGCAGCGTGCACCAGATGTCTCCTATCTACTCTAGATATCCTTCTTGCCATTTAGTATCTCTTAGATTGTAGGCAAGGACACAAAGAGGGCACGATGTTTGTGCATGTCACTAGAAAGATCCGGCATATCTGAAATGTTTCATCCGACATGTCAACACAAAGTAGGACTACGAGGGAAGAGAGTCGACATGGTTTTAGTTTCCTTAAACAGCTTATATATTTATAAAGTAACAACTAAAAGATGTTAAGTTTTCAGTGTGCTTCAGTTTGTTTCATAGACACCCGGTAGCGAAATAAATTGGTGTTTGCTCACCATTTCTGGAGATGTCCAGCTCCACCAGGTGCATGAAGTTAGCCACTTCAGGAGGGAGTCTCTGGATCTCATTGTCACTCAAGCCAAGCTTCCGTAAGTTCAGTAGTCTGAAGAAAGGCTGCGGAAAAATGGGATACCTTGTTAGGCTTAAAAAGAAAATACACTTTATACAAAAATCCCAGACAGCAAGTTTAGTGTTCTTTAAGAGGTCCAATGTTTTCTCTGCCCAATGTCACAATGAGTCCATTAGACATATGTTCTTATGCGTTTATGGACCATTTAGGAATAAACAAAAGTCTTGTGAATAATTTAGCAGCACAAAATATCCCTCATTTTAGATTCAATGTCATCTATAGATTTGGGGTAAATCCAAAATGTCCCAAACACAAGGCTCTATTTTCAATGGGTTTTTATCACATTTACATTCCAAACTACCAGAGTCATGAAAGGATGAAAAATCTATTTTCTACACATTTTTCTAGACAAATTTCAACTGTTTTCTAGATTTAAATGACCAGGGTGCTGAAATGTAACAATCTCGGATGGATGGATGGATGGATGGACGGACGGACGGACAGACGGACGGACGGACAGACAGTGGAGAGGGAACACAATCTAGAATTAAAATGATTTTCCATACTTATCCCCACCTGAAACATACTTTAAATTCTATAATTCTATTCTTTTTAAATAATTTCATCCTTTTTCTCAACTAGGAAAAATAAAAAGAGAACACATGCAAAGCATCTAATATATCCAGTAACAGACTCCAGAGGTGGTTCTGAAAACATTCCATTTACATATTTGGGAATATATAAAAAAAGGTTTCACCATAGTAACAGCTGCCAAACAAAGTGGCTTTTCGTTAGGAGCGCGTTTGGCCTGCAGTCCTGCCAAATGCTTTCACAAGAGCATGTTTGTTGGACAGGATGGAGCTCAGCAACATTCCTTAGCAAGCAGAAGTGTGTCTCTGTGCTGCTCAGATGGACAGACAAGACGGACTGAGGCCAGCAGGAGAAACATGCTGAACCGCTGCTCTTGTTAACCCCTCAATCAGTCCACGCTTCTGGTGCCCACAGAGGCTCTACTGTCTACCCTATCGTATCACAACTGGGACTTCTCAGACACTTTAACAAAGGAAAACTCTTGGGAATATTTTGGAAAAGGAACCTGGATCGACCTTTTCCAGGAATGCTTTCTGTCTGCAAGCTTGGAGCCAAAACCGTAATTTAAATTAAACTTCAGCCTATCAGCTAAATGTTTCTGTTGAAAAACAACCCTCTGTGTGTGTGTGTCAGTTGCCACAGATTAATTGACTAAACTGAAGAAAAAAATCCAGATAATGTCTAAGCTCCCCCCTCCTCTGCACAGATTAGGTTTAAAAACATAGAGCCGTTACACTCCTGTAACCCAACTGTTGCATAAACATGCAGTAAATCAGATAAAGCGCTTAATCTCTGATGGGGACTTTTAAAAGTTCCTATTGGGAGAAAAGCATAACAAAAAAAACATTAAATATACATGTACACACAAAATGCAACATGATGGAGAGCCCCACCGTTATGCAGATAAGAGATCAGTTCACTTCCACTCTGTTCTTTGATGATTGACATTTCCTGTTCTTGTGCATTTTCTTTGGATGGAGGGCATTAGAGCAGTTCCCGTTGAATAGGTTTAGGTTACACAGCACCTCGAAACTTAAACATAATTAACCAACAGTTATCGGCCAGACTGATATTAAAGCGGATAGCTAAGTTTTCTCTTAGTTCTAAAGTTTTGGGCATTAGGGTAAAAATAAACAAGAAAACCTTTGGTCCTTACCAGCTTTAGACTAATAAATCCCCATATAGATACCACTTCAACACTTTACAAAAGAATTGTGAAAAATATAAAAACCATTACATAGTATGACTGCGTTAAAAAATACATAGGCAGCTTACAGGCCTGGACCATTTGAACATATTCTGTCTATTTTATTTTTTTCAGTTTTACAATTTCTGCACCTAAAAATGTTAGAAATGTATGAAAGCTTCTTACACAGAAAGCTTTGATTGGAAATTAGAGCCCAAGGTTGACAGGCCTTTATCATCAAACCTGTACTGCCCTGTTCAAAAAAAGAAAGATACTTACAGAAAACCAAAAATCAGGAAATCTGTTAATATAACTCCTTTTATTTCATCTGTGCCAAAAAGACACCTTCATGAAGTAAATATTTATGCTTAATTTAGCTCTTACTATTCAACGAAAGCCTTGCCCTTACAAGGAAGGGAAAGTTTAACGGACCTAAATCGTAAACCTCCAAAATTATGATCTTTACGAGATCATCAATTTGCACAAAAGTAGAAGCTGCGTATCGAGGAAGACTTCAACAACAACAAAAACCAACGCAGTATATGAAAAAGCATCAGGTCCATCACTGATTATAAGCAATGATCAGCAGCTCAATCATGACCCAGCTCATCCTGGTACCTTTAGCAGCTTCATGCTAGGACTCTCCAAAAGGGCTGGGTATTGTTCAAAAATTTTCGGTTCCGGTAGCAATACCGATACCTTCACTTCGATACCGGTTCCTGAACGATACTTTTTTGATACCAGTTTTATAATATCAATTTGAAGAAAAAGAAAATTACACAACATAAAAAAGTACAAATCTTTATTTTAAGCTCTGATTTTGCCATTTACATTTTTCCTCTTACATAAAAAAAAAAATTCAGTGTCTAATATTCACTGTTACATTGTGAGGACCTTTTTACTTAGCAGTTTTCCTTTAGAAAAATTACCATGTCTGACAAACAAGCCCGTTGAATGGGATCCTATTGACAGCGCACCGCTGGTATGTGGGATCCCAGCGGCTCCGACAGAAATATTGTAAGGCCTGATGAAC